TATTAAAGTGTCACAGACAGCAGTGAAACGTAAAGACTGAAATGGTCAGTTACACCAGACACTTCCTCCTCCATGATTTCCTAATGTGGTTTCACTCTTATGATTCATCACTGTATGGCAACAGTGGAGGAGTATTCAGATCCTTGAAAAGAAGTGAAAGTACTGATACTGCACTGTAAACTCTTATGAGTAAAAGCTCTGCATTAAAAATGTTGCTTAAGTGAATGTTCCTCCTCTATAAATGTAGTTGTGAGTGCTAATAATTACTTTCATTATGGATGAATCTGCAGATTATTTTCTCCATTAAAATTGACTGATTGTTTGGTTTGTAAAAATTCAGAAAATTGTGAGAAATGCAGTCACAGCTGTCAATTGACTAATAGATTAGTCCTCTAATCTTGTCTGCTGTACTTGTATAAACTGTTGGTTAGTTTAATTATAGCAAAACATCATATTTTATAAACTCTTCATATGTTGTGTGAAAAAAATCTTTATTTATAAACTACCTAGCAACTAAAGCTGTCAGATAAATGTAGTGAAGTAAAAAGTACAATATTTCATTCTGACATGTGACAGTAAAACTAGAAACTAGCATGAAACATAATAAAGTACATCACATTGTAGTTAAGTACAGTACTTGAGTAAATGTACTTTCCACCACTGCTTTAGAATATAATGTGCCATAGTCCACAGTGGATTTCATCTCACTTCTTTTCTGTTCTTTATTTTAATCTTTACACTACAGTGAAATTCAGTCAGATTGTCCAGATGCAGCCACCATTGAAAGTCCCACTCTGGACTCTAACACTGATTGCCACTATGTTCGTTACTAAGGGAGGGTGAATGCATGAATGGACACTGTGTGGTCTCTCACCAGAGCGTAGTATGACAGCGTTGATCCGATGTAGATGATGAGCTGGATGAAGCTGAACCTTCCCGCCTGGAAAACAGAACTAACTGTCACTCTTTATTTCCCCACACTTTCCTTCAGAGTTATAGACACAATTATAGAAATCCCAAGGTGATGATTTAGTAGATATAATGCATCAGTAACAAGTTATTTTATTGATAAGATATGGCACCTTGGACAATTTCCTCTCAACCACAACAAAAAATAAAATGGAAAACTAAGCAATATCCATGACATAATTTCACAAAGGCCTACTGCAAATTCAAAAGTCCTAAACTTTAAGTTTAAAAATATTAAGTCCAAACCTGTAATCAAGGCTAATAATTCTGCCTTGCACTGCCCACTAGTGGTGAAAACATGGTTATCCCACCACCTGTGCAGCAGGGATGTAGTTTTGCACTACAGTGGGTGTGCCCACAATGACAAACACATGTCAGACAGAGGATCTGCACACTGTCCTGAAAATCAGCTCCCGGCTAATTTAATGCAACAGAGCCACAAAAACATTCATCACATTTAGAGCCAACTACTCTCAGACTGGACCAATCAGAGCAGAGCTGAATGAGTATGTCTGATACTCCCATATAGGGGACAAAGAATACCTCTAAAGATAGAGACAAATTTTATACAAGAACATATAATCCAATACATCAAAAATCAGACTAATTTAAAGGAAAAATCATCCACAGGAAGCTACTATAGGACATAGAAAAACTCACAATTAGGCAGAACAACAAGTGGTTGTATATTTGACAATGCCTGACGAAGATCTCTATTAGATCCAAACCATTGCTCTGTTACATGAAGCTTTCTACGAGTTGATTATCGGGACAGTGTGCAGATCTTTCGCCTGACTTTCTGGCCACAAGTACAATATATCACGCCAGTGGTCGATTCAGTTATGTTTTTCCGTCTTCCAAAAAAATAGTTGTTGCCCTTACACCCACACCCAGTTGTTGTAGCAGAAAAAAGACAAACAAAAGGAAATGAATGAAAACTCTGAAAGGGGGGGGGGACTAAACCAACCCACCTGTCCGAACACCATGACATCAAACCTGATCCCGAATGCTTTGTACAGCGTTCGAACCTCCACTCCATTTACGTGTTGTACTTTGCATACCTGAGCAGAGAACAGCAGATGAGGAAAGAGGCACTGCAACTTCATGCAACAAAAGAGCCTTTAATGAAGGATTTTTTTTTTATTTTTTATTTTTTACCCCAAATCGGAAATAAACTAGATTAATACAGTTTTGTTGTTTTTTTTGTTTTTTTACTGATACCGACCTTTTATTACGCATCACATATCAGCCAGTCACTGTCCTCCTCAACCACAGTTACAGAACAGACTTCAAACCAGCCATTGTTTATTATACAGAGGTTCCTCTTGATGGTATAAATGTTTCCATGCCAACAAAAATACAACTGGGGAACACTAAAGGCTTAATTTTTCTCATGTGAATTCACAGCCATAAAAACATTAGCACAGACTTTTGGCTTTTGGCAACTTCAGTCTAAAAATAACCAAAGCTCCTACAATGGCCTGACTGATGAGGAATGTGCACACAGTATCTGACAAGGTAAACTTGACCTTTGACCCTTGTTCACCTGAAGTTAAGACCGGGGTAGAGCGTCTTGTTGCTCTCTTTCTCATCCAGCCGTCTGAAGGAGTATTTGGGCAGGCAGCGATGCATGAGCCGGTCCAGGTTGCAGTCCCATTTGATCAGGATGCCGATGACTCCTCCCTGTGGTCAACAGAGGAAATGGATTCAAGACAAAAGTCAGTCAGCTAAGGGGAAACCCAGATAGCTTTTTTTGTAGAAAAGAGTTGAAACAAGTTGATTTTCACTAGGAGGAGGAGGATGATTTTTACAGTGACTAGACATCAGCTAATTAATTACCGGAAAATAAATTAGGAATTCTTCTAGGGATCGAAATTTGTTTTAACATCTACTGGCACACTAATAATGCTGACTTTCATCCATGCAGACTGAAGAACGTTTGCTGTGGTAACACTTCCTTTTTTTTGGTTGTCAGGGTTGTTTCATTTCAACTTTATTTGATCTATTGACCAGGATAACAAATGACTCACTAAGAGAAACCCCAAAAAGAGAAAGTGTAGCAAAACTGGTCTCGCAATGTTGCTGCATCCTGAGATTTCAGCAGTGAAAGTCTATAAAATGTTATCATAGTTCAGTGATGGCCAGAACGATGAAAATAAGAGCCATGTTGTGAGAAACATTTGAACATGCAACTCCACCTCTACTGCAATTACAGAGAACTTTTCTCCAGCCTCTCGAATGATGTCTCCCAGTTTGAAAATGGGACACAGCGAGTCGTTTCCTCTATGACAGCTCCTCAGGTAGGCGTCGTTCATCTGTGGCAGAATGTTCCTTCTGTTAAGCAAAACAAAGTCAGAGTTTCTCCAACACTGGAGTGAAGTGACAAAGAGCAGCAAACCCTTTAGAGATGGCATTAGTCTGTTTTCAGCTGAGAGTTTTAGTGTCCTGTGATGCTCTAAAGGTTTTCCTGGCTTTTCTTATTTAAAAATAAAACAAGGCAGGAAATACTTAACTTGTTTTCATCATGATCACATGCAAACAAGATATGATAAAACAGTGAAAAAATTTGATTTGTGATAGAAGTGACAGTTACTTGTAATCTATGACAGTTGTTTGCAAAACAGAAATTAACGAAGCAAAATGATTTGATGTTGGAGCCTCCTTCAACAGGCCAAAAATAAAGAGTCTTCAACATTGTCTGTTAAATAATACATTGTGAATTTCGACCTATGTGGAACTTGTTGCTGTACAGACACAGCTGTGGCCCACTGCATAAAAAACAAAACCTGTTTTGTTTTTTATGCAGTGGGCCACAGCTGTGTCTGTACAGCAACAAGTTCCACATAGGTCGAAATTCACAATGTTATTTAACAGACAATGTTGAAGACTCTTTATTTTTGGCCTGTTGAAGGAGGCTCCAACATCAAATCATTTTGCTTCGTTAATTTCTGTTTTGCAAACAACTGTCATAGATTACAAGTAACTGTCACTTCTATCACAAATCAATTTTTTCACTGTTTTATCATATCTTGTTTGCATGTGATCATGATGAAAACAAGTTAAGTATTCCTGCCTTGTTTTATTTTTAAATAAGAAAAGCCAGGAAAACCTTTAGAGCATCACAGGACACTAAAACTCTCAGCTGAAAACAGACTAATGCCATCTCTAAAGGGTTTGCTGCTCTTTGTCACTTCACTCCAGTGTTGGAGAAACTCTGACTTTGTTTTGCTTAACAGAAGGAACATTCTGCCACAGATGAACGACGCCTACCTGAGGAGCTGTCATAGAGGAAACGACTCGCTGTGTCCCATTTTCAAACTGGGAGACATCATTCGAGAGGCTGGAGAAAAGTTCTCTGTAATTGCAGTAGAGGTGGAGTTGCATGTTCAAATGTTTCTCACAACATGGCTCTTATTTTCATCGTTCTGGCCATCACTGAACTATGATAACATTTTATAGACTTTCACTGCTGAAATCTCAGGATGCAGCAACATTGCGAGACCAGTTTTGCTACACTTTCTCTTTTTGGGGTTTTCTTAGTGAGTCATTTGTTATCCTGGTCAATAGATCAAATAAAGTTGAAATGAAACAACCCTGACAACCAAAAAAAAGGAAGTGTTACCACAGCAAACGTTCTTCAGTCTGCATGGATGAAAGTCAGCATTATTAGTGTGCCAGTAGATGTTAAAAACAAATTTCGATCCCTAGAAGAATTCCTAATTTATTTTCCGGTAATTAATTAGCTGATGTCTAGTCACTGTAAAATCATCCTCCTCCCTAGTGAAAATCAACTTGTTTCAACTCTTTTCTACAAAAAAGCTATCTGGGTTTCCCTTAGCTGACTGACTTTTGTCTGAATCCATTTCCTCTGTTGACCACAGGGAGGAGTCATCGGCATCCTGATCAAATGGGACTGCAACCTGGACCGGCTCATGCATCGCTGCCTGCCCAAATACTCCTTCAGACGGCTGGATGAGAAAGAGAGCAACAAGACGCTCTACCCCGGTCTTAACTTCAGGTGAACAAGGGTCAAAGGTCAAGTTTACCTTGTCAGATACTGTGTGCACATTCCTCATCAGTCAGGCCATTGTAGGAGCTTTGGTTATTTTTAGACTGAAGTTGCCAAAAGCCAAAAGTCTGTGCTAATGTTTTTATGGCTGTGAATTCACATGAGAAAAATTAAGCCTTTAGTGTTCCCCAGTTGTATTTTTGTTGGCATGGAAACATTTATACCATCAAGAGGAACCTCTGTATAATAAACAATGGCTGGTTTGAAGTCTGTTCTGTAACTGTGGTTGGGAGGACAGTGACTGGCTGATATGTGATGCGTAATAAAAGGTCGGTATCAGTAAAAAACAAAAAAAACAAACAAAACTGTATTAATCTAGTTTATTTCCGATTTGGGGTAAAAAATAAAAAATAAAAAAAAATCCTTCATTAAAGGCTCTTTTGTTGCATGAAGTTGCAGTGCCTCTTTCCTCATCTGCTGTTCTCTGCTCAGGTATGCAAAGTACAACACAGTAAATGGAGTGGAGGTTCGAACGCTGTACAAAGCATTCGGGATCAGGTTTGATGTCATGGTGTCGGACAGGTGGGTTGGTTTAGTCCCCCCCCCCCTTTCAGAGTTTTCATTCATTTCCTTTTGTTGTCTTTTTTCTGCTACAACAACTGGGTGTGGGTGTAAGGGCAACAACTATTTTTTTGGAAGACGGAAAAACATAACTGAATCGACCACTGGCGTGATATATTGTACTTGTGGCCAGAAAGTCAGGCGAAAGATCTGCACACTGTCCCGATAATCAACTCGTAGAAAGCTTCATGTAACAGAGCAATGGTTTGGATCTAATAGAGATCTTCGTCAGGCATTGTCAAATATACAACCACTTGTTGTTCTGCCTAATTGTGAGTTTTCTATGTCCTATAGTAGCTTCCTGTGGATGATTTTTCCTTTAATTAGTCTGATTTTTGATGTATTGGATTATATGTCTTGTATAAATTTGTCTCTATCTTTAGAGGTATTCTTTGTCCCCTATATGGGAGTATCAGACATACTCATTCAGCTCTGCTCTGATTGGTCCAGTCTGAGAGTAGTTGGCTCTAAATGTGATGAATGTTTTTGTGGCTCTGTTGCATTAAATTAGCCGGGAGTGATTTTCAGGACAGTGTGCAGATCCTCTGTCTGACATGTGTTTGTCATTGTGGGCACACCCACTGTAGTGCAAAACTACATCCCTGCTGCACAGGTGGTGGGATAACCATGTTTTCACCACTAGTGGGCAGTGCAAGGCAGAATTATTAGCCTTGATTACAGGTTTGGACTTAATATTTTAAACTTAAAGTTTAGGACTTTTGAATTTGCAGTAGGCCTTTGTGAAATTATGTCATGGATATTGCTTAGTTTTGTCCATTTTTATTTTTTGTTGTGGTTGAGAGGAAATTGTCCAAGGTGCCATATCTTATCAATAAATAACTTGTTACTGATGCATTATATCTACTAAATCATCACCTTGGGATTTCTATAATTGTGTCTATAACTCTGAAGGAAAGTGTGGGGAAATAAAGAGTGACAGTTAGTTCTGTTTTCCAGGCGGGAAGGTTCAGCTTCATCCAGCTCATCATCTACATCGGATCAACGCTGTCATACTACGCTCTGGTGAGAGACCACACAGTGTCCATTCATGCATTCACCCTCCCTTAGTAACGAACATAGTGGCAATCAGTGTTAGAGTCCAGAGTGGGACTTTCAATGGTGGCTGCATCTGGACAATCTGACTGAATTTCACTGTAGTGTAAAGATTAAAATAAAGAACAGAAAAGAAGTGAGATGAAATCCACTGTGGACTATGGCACATTATATTCTAAAGCAGTGGTGGAAAGTACATTTACTCAAGTACTGTACTTAACTACAAATGTGATGTACTTTATGTAGTTCATGCTAGTTTCTAGTTTTACTGTCACATGTCAGAATGAAATATTGTACTTTTTACTTCACTACATTTATCTGACAGCTTTAGTTGCTAGGTAGTTTATAAATAAAGATTTTTTTCACACAACATATGAAGAGTTTATAAAATATGATGTTTTGCTATAATTAAACTAACCAACAGTTTATACAAGTACAGCAGACAAGATTAGAGGACTAATCTATTAGTCAATTGACAGCTGTGACTGCATTTCTCACAATTTTCTGAATTTTTACAAACCAAACAATCAGTCAATTTTAATGGAGAAATATCTGCAGATTCATCCATAATGAAAGTAATTATTAGCACTCACAACTACATTTATAGAGGAGGAACATTCACTTAAGCAACATTTTAATGCAGAGCTTTTACTCTAAGAGTTTACAGTGCAGTATCAGTACTTTCACTTCTTTTCAAGGATCTGAATACTCCTCCACTGTTGCCATACAGTGATGAATCATAAGAGTGAAACCACATTAGGAAATCATGGAGGAGGAAGTGT